ACTGATGATGGTTGTCGTAAAATTACCAAATATCAACAAAACATGCAATTTGCCAAAAAATGATGAATTTATGACAAATGTTTCCTTAATATCATTAAGTTTGTACCGGATATAACTAACAACAACAACAATTATGCACTTACAATAATGTTTGTAAGTGCACATGTGATAAATTCGCACATTTTTGTCCCAAATCGTTCATTTTTTATCTCTCATTTTAACTCTCACAGTGACATTGTTTGTTATATTATGACAACTTTGCTTTTATACTATGATGCATGCATATACTTATGTTGGTATATGTAAACTCTATCACACAGAAAAAGAATGATCAAGATCCAATAAGCCTGAAGAAACTAATTAACATTTCAATATCCCTACCCCCAACAACAGCAAATGTGAGTGAACGGTGAACCCATGAACATTGAGTTATGGAACCTGTGAGCAAACGCAACTTATGCTATATTTAGACATTATGCAATGCATTTACTGCAAGTCTGCTAGATAACATTGCACAACTAATGGATGGAATATTGATTACATGACTGTTGGGTTGTGATTTCAAGACCTAAATGATGGAGCCTAACATAAAACGACCTCGTACAGCTAGTAGTGAGTAAATGTTTATGCCATGCTTACTCGAAAATTGGAAAAAAATACACCAACATCGTGGAAAACATTCTGTAGTGCTGCAAAACGTCGAAAAGCCTCTGTTTACATCAAGTTGAAGGAGTATATTGAAGGTGAAGTTGAGTTGGTGAAGCATCACAGGTGTTATGCTACATTACACCTTAGGCAAGAGTATTGAACTCTCTGAACATAAACAACAGCAGACACTGAAACACAGTGAAACATCAATGTGTAGCTCATGTTTTGTGCCTGATGTGACAATAACACCATTGACACGATCCAGTGTTTCTCAATCAGATATATTGAAGTGTATCATTTTACAGAATGACAAACGTCTGCGTGGAGACAAGCGCGAATTAGAAGCTGCCAGCCCAATGACTTTGTACTCAGCTGTTGAAACATTACGGCAAGCTGCAATAATTAGTAATGATCAGAGGGTACTCATGCAGCTGTCAGAAGGTGCAAGAGGAGGAACCAATAGTATTGCTGGTGATTTACTTGTGTATAGATCATGTCGTAGTTCGTATACCCACAGTAAAAGTCTTACCTTTGTCTAAGAAAACACATCCACAGACAATGCCTATGATGATGAGGCATTCAAACGTCTTTCAAATGAAATTCAAAAGGGAATCATTGATGGATGTGAATGTTTGGAAGATGTCTGATGTTAGAGACAGATTTATTGAAATTCTTCCAGATGTGGGCATTGATCAGCCAAATTACAGATCAGAAAAACTGAAGAAATGTATCATAAAGCCATCTGGAAAGACGATTTCTTTCTGGCATTCAAAGTTTCGAAGTGAATCTGAGATGATGTTTTCTGATATCGTCCCAAAAGGCATGTATTGAAGCAGGGGCCTCAAATGTCAGAGATTTGCAGGAGCAAGATATGGAAGATTTTGATGATGTTGGACTACATTTTGATGAGAAAGCTGAACAAGTGCGTCAGGTATGCTTAGTATCACAGATGGTTCACCATGAGGTTCAAACAGTGAGAGACATGGCTTGGCCACCATCACTGCAGAACATTTCAGAGGAGTCACTAAGCAGTGTGGTTCCTGTGATTCTATACAATCTTTTGGCATGGATTATTTTTGGAATCGTAGATGAGATGATAAAAACGAAACATTGAATATGGAACATCAGTCTAAAGTTCTGGAGACAGTAGAGAGGCACATTCTTGCAATTGCACAAAACATAGTGTATTGCAGCCGTAAAGGTAGAATACGTACTCCAAGACATGTAACATTGGCTGCTTCAGTGCATCATCTCACATGTAGTATGGGACTAGTGTCTACACTGAACCGCTTCGGACATTGTATTTCGAAGCTCCAAGAAGTTGAAAGCGCTCTAGCAGAAATGCGCCTACAAAATCAAAGGGCTGCAGTGGTGCCGGCAAACATATCTTCAAATGTTCCAGTATGTTTAGTTTGGGATAACAGTGACTTCCAGGAAGAGACTCCCTTTGGCAAGAACACAACTCATTGCACCACTGGAATTGTTACACAGCCTAGAGTATGAACTTGTGCTCTCCAACAAAGAGAGGCAGACACTGCTCCATCTCGCAGAAGATCAGTGCAGCCAATTGTCGACCAGTTGATTGAAGAGTATACATATGGCAACAAACGTGTTGGACCTGAACGAATTCAGGGGGCAGTGGAACTGTTAGCTGACAGAACTGCAGAACAGACACTGTTTGTAACTAATGGCGAAGAGTTTCACCGACTCAGAGTCAATGATGAGAGAAACCAGATAACATAGGAATGCATACATGAGCTGTATTGGAACCACGAGGAAGCTGATAGTCGCTTACTTCTACATGCAGCCCATGCAGCCAACCATGGTTCTAGCTAAGTAGTACCTAAGTGGCCAGACACAGATGTTGCCGTAATTGCCATAGGCGTGAGCCATTTCATACCTGTACAGGTGATATTCAAAACGGGAACAAAACAAAGAACACTTCACATCAATCTCACATCTATTGGGTCTACTCTTGGGCGAGATATATGTGAAGCTTTGATAGGCTATCATGCATTCAGTGGATGTGATTCAACAAGTGCTTTTGTTGGGCGTGGCAAGACTAAGGGTCTAAAATTGGGAAAGTCTCACCAAGGTTTCAGACACAGCATGGCACAATTGGGTAAATCATTTGCAACTGATGAAATTCTGTTGAGGCAAGGTGAATCGGCTGTTTGTGTCCTATATGGAGGCAAACCCCAACTTGGCGTCAACAAACTACGGCTTGCGCTGTTCGGGTCACGCACAACAGATCCAGTCAATTTGCCGCCATGCAGTGATGCATGTGAGAAACACATTAAACGTGTCAACTACCAGGCATCTATTTGGCGACATTGTTTAGAAGCAAAACCAGAAGTGGTTTCTCCACATGTGAATGGCTGGACGATTGGTGGATACATTATATGGCACTGGATGGACACTCCAGCAGCTCCAAAAGCTGTACTTGAATGTGTTAGCTGCAAATGTCAGAATTGCGCCAGTATTCGTTGCACATGCAGGGTCAATCAATTAAGATGCACCGGTGCTTGTCGCTGCAATATCAACGAATATCAGAATCGGACAAACACAACTACAGATATGGATGAAGACAACTTATTATCTGAAGATGACTCGGATTTTGACTGAGAATCATCTTGCACTAAACTGTTACGCACACAACTTTGGCTGTCATTAGTTCTCTGAGAAAGGCAACAAACCAACTATTAACAGTGTTGCACAAATAGAAATTAAACTGCAGACACCATATTATTACACAACATAATAGCTCTTGAAAATACTGATATGCATATGGTATAACTTGCAATCACACATATTTGAACAGATAAAACAAACAAAAATACTAACAATGAGCAAATTGCAGTAACAAAACACAAGAAATTTGTGAAGAACAAAGCTAGTTTGCAGTTATTTAACTTTAAACATCCCTGTAAATGCTATCATTATGTTACCGGGTTCCAGCCGTATCTACTGATGTTTATATTTACGGGACAGATGGAGGAATCTTTACCTCAGCAGGTCACTCCGGAGTTGGTTCCAGCCGTACCTACTGATGTTTATATTTACGGGACAGATGAAGTTATCTTTACCTCAGCAGGTCACTCCGGAGTTGGTTCCAGCCGTACCTACTGATGTTTATATTTACGGGACAGATGAAGTTATCTTTACCTCAGCAGGTCACTCCGTAGTTGGTTCCAGCCGTATCTACTGATGTTTATATTTACGGGACATATGAAGTTATCTTTACCTCAGCAGGTCAGTCCGTAGTTGGTTCCAGCCGTACCTACTGATGTTTATATTAACGGGACAGATGAAGTTATCTTTACCTCAGCAGGTCACTCCGTAGTTGGTTCCAGCCGTACCTACTGATGTTTATATTAACGGGACAGATGAAGTTATCTTTACCTCAGCAGGTCACTCCGTAGTTGGTTCCAGCCGTACCTACTGATGTTTATATTTACGGGACAGATGAAGTTATCTTTACCTCAGCAGGTCACTCCGTAGTTGGTTCCAGCCGTACCTACTGATGTTTATATTAACGGGACAGATGAAGTTATCTTTACCTCAGCAGGTCAGTCCGTAGTTGGTTCCAGCCGTACCTACTGATGTTTATATTTACGGGACAGATGAAGTTATCTTTACCTCAGCAGGTCACTCCGTAGTTGGTTCCAGCCGTACCTACTGATGTTTATATTAACGGGACAGATGAAGTTATCTTTACCTCAGCAGGTCACTCCGTAGTTGGTTCCAGCCGTACCTACTGATGTTTATATTTACGGGACAGATGGAGGTATCTTCCCTTGAAGCATTAAGGAAAATATGCCCATTTCGTCAAGTAGAATCTATATGTTATCCCTCTTGGAGTCATGAGAACCATTAACAAGTGAAACTAAAATTATAATTTGAGCACTTCTGTACAGCAACGTGCCCTTTGATACGCGTGAGCAGGTGAGTTGGAGTGGACGCTGATTTTAACTTTATTGTGGTCACGTAACTATGATATCACAGACGGTATCCATGTTGGGAATCAAACTCAGCCCTTCATCATGACAGGCCACCCACTGGACTACTCCTTTACACCTTGAATAATAACAAAGGGCAACACCACACTTCCATACCAGCAACCATGTAACTACTAAGTTTATGTCAAGAAAGTGAATATAATAGAATGTGTTAGGATAGATGTGTTAGCTGACAAGTAATCAATTGTAAATGGACTATGACACCACAGCACACAATGTTTCATACATTGAAGTAGAACGGGAAACACCATTGTGCCGAAATAGGACGCACACAGACGTGTGGAACACAAACAATGTATCACTAATGACGTGACGATCACAACCGTTACTCACTGTGTGCCAGGATGACGAGCAGCAGCAGCAGCAGCAGCAGCCTCCCAGCCATTGTACCTGAACACTCTCCCCCGGATACCTACTGAATCACTGAATCAATTGGGACTGCAAACACTGGCACTCAATCGACCGTGTCAGATAACCAATTGCAATGTCTGTTGAGACCGGAGCTATAGCGACTGTGCTCTTCAGCTACATATATACGTACAATATAACAACGCAGGCTGAGCGACTGGTCCCCAACATTTTCCTTCAAGTCCCATTTCGCTACAGGTCCGACGAAAATAATTACTGCTGTCATGCGTAACTAATGAGATGTTAATGTGGCATCTCACATAAAGAAGTTAAATGAACCAATCCACTGAACGGAGTGAAAGAGTGAAAAAAAACCCTGAGAGAATAATCTACGAGTAGCCAGGAATTACCTTCGCCTCCAAACTAGGAGATGTATCAGTCTCTACTAATCTCCCAAACACTGAGTGCAATGAGACAAAAACTGGAAGCTCCATGTAAAGGTCGTTTTATGGGCTACATTGTCGACAGTGGCCACGGTTTTGCATTTCCAATATATCTGTATTATGGAAATGCATGTTTCTTCTCAATATTGCCCAGTGAATAGTGGAAGCATGACGGCTGTCAGCATTCTTGTGTTGTGACTGGACAGCGAGGTGTGTGTCCGCGTGTCACTGGTCACCAGTCAAGGTCTGTGTCCCCTACGGGAAATCCCGAACCTACACTCTCCGACTCAAGCCCCCAAAAGATAGAATGCCCCCAAAAGATAGAATGTCTGATCTCAAATGTAACGTAAGTTACAACTGAATACTCTCCAAATGCAGTTGAATGTTCATACATGTAGTTGGATTTAAAGCCACTTTGGTGTTAGTCATCGTGTGTCGTTGGGTGTGGACATGTTGTTGAAACAAAACACAGGTATACGCAGATCATAGAGGTTACAAATGAGAAAACATGGCGCCTGCAAACCAACATTCAGAATCTGAACAAACCAGAAATACCAAGTCACGAACACCGGCAGCGATGAAAAACGACGGCTGGAGTTTACGCCTGGGACTCACAATTAACTGTTGGAACTCACGGCTAAAGCTCACGGTTGGACCTCACTGCTGGGAGTTAATAAACAGCTTTATGTTTCAGACAGAAGCTGATATGAAGCTGAAGCTGATTGAATGCATGTGGAAGTTGGAACAAGTATACAACCATGTACAGTCCGTTCGATTTCATTTGAATTGCTCACTAACACAAACTCTATTAAATGCAACAAAACTAAATTTTGCACAGTCACATAAAATCGACAGACCAACTCATAAGATTTGTCTCATAAGTTTGGACTCGGAACATATAAAGTTGTTTAACAAACGAGCATTATTTTGTTGTCACTTACTGCTTTTTTTTAGGTGAGGGAGAAGGTTTGTGGATGGGGGCCCAGGATAGGTGAGGGAGAAGGTTTGTGGATGGGGGCCCAGGATAGGTGAGGGAGAAGGTTTGTGGATGGGGGCCCAGGATAGGTGAGGGAGAAGGTTTGTGGATTGGGGCCCAGGATAGGTGAGGGAGAAGGTGCGTGGATGGGGGCCCAGGATAGGTGGAGGGAGAAGGTTTGTGGAGGGAGGATGAGGGAGAAGGTTTGTGGATGGGGTCCCAGGATAGGTGAGGGAGAAGGTTTGTGGATGGGGGCCCAGGATAGGTGAGGAGAAGGTTGTGGATGGGGGGCCCAGGATAGGTGAGGGAGAAGGTGTGTGGGATGGGGGATAAGGTGTGCCCAGGATAGGGGAGGGAGAAGGTTTGTGGAGGGGGCAGGATAGGTGAGGGAAGAAGGTTTGTGGATGGGGGGTCCCAGGATGGGTGAGGGAGAAGGTTTGTGGATGGGGGCCCAGGATAGGTGAGGGGGAGAAGGTTTGTGGATGGGGGCCCAGGATTTTGTGGATGGGGTCCAGGATAGGTGAGGAGAAAGGGTGGATGGGGTCCCAGGATAGGTGAGGGAGAAGGTTTGTGGATGGGGTCCCAGGATAGGTGAGGGAGAAGGTTTGTGGATGGGGTCCCAGGATAGGTGAGGAAGAAGGTTTGTGGATGGGGTCCCAGGAGGGAGAAGGTGAGGGGATAGATGAAGGTTTGTGGATGGGGGGCCCAGGATAGGTGAGGGGGAGGAGGTTGTGTGGATGGGGGGGCCCAGGATAGGTGAGGGAGAAGGTTTGTGGATGGGGGCCCAGGATAGGTGAGGGAGAAGGTTGTGTGGATGGGGTCCCAGGATAGGTGAGGGAGAAGGTTTGTGGATGGGGGCCCAGGATAGGTGAGGGAGAAGGTTTGTGGATGGGGGCCCAGGATAGGTGAGGGAGAAGGTGTGTGGATGGGGGGGATAGGTGAGGAAAGAAAGGTTTGTGGATGGGGGCCCAGGATAGGTGAGGGAGAAGGTGTGTGGATGGGGGCCCAGGAAAGGGTTTGAGGGAGAAAGGTTTGTGGAGGGGGAATACAGGATGAGGTGAGGGAGAAAGGTTTGTGGAGGGAGAAGGTTTGTGGATGGGGGGTCCCAGGATAGGTGAGGGAGAAGGTTTGTGGATGGGGGCCCAGGATAGGTGAGGGAGAAGGTTTGTGGATGGGGGCCCAGGATAGGTGAGGGAGAAGGTTTGTGGATGGGGGCCCAGGATAGGTGAGGGAGAAGGTTTGTTTGGATGGATTTGGGGGGCCAGGATAGGTGAGGGAGAAGGTTTGTGGATGGGGGCCCAGGATAGGTGAGCCCAGGATAGGTGAGGGAGAAGGTTTGTAGATGGGGTCCCAGGATAGGTGAGGGAGAAGGTTTGTGGATGGGGGCCCAGGATAGGTGAGGGAGAAGGTTTGTGGATGGGGGCCCAGGATAGGTGAGGGAGAGGGTTTGTGGATGGGGCCCAGGATAGGTGAGGGAGAAGGTGACTGTTTAAGGGACCGCCATGCTGAAACACAACTGTCTGGAGAACTCGAGGACAAAGTTGGAAACATGCGAATTAGAAATGAACCCTGAAGACATGACCTTTGTGAAGCTGATACTGTGTGCCCGTGTTTGTCCACAGATTGTTGAAGGTGTCAAGCTGATACTGTGTTCCCGTGTTTGTCCACAGATTGCTGAAGGCGTCGAGCTGATACTGTGTGCCCGTGTTTGTCCAAAGATTGTTGAAGGCGTCGAGCTGATGCTGTGTGCCCGTGTTTGTCCACAGATTGTTGAAGGCGTCGAGCTGATACTGGGTGCCCGTGTTTGTCCACAGATTGTTGAAGGCGTCAAGCTGATACTGTGTGCCCGTGTTTGTCCACAGATTGTTGAAGGCGTCAAGCTGATACTGTGTGCCCGTGTTTGTCCACAGATTGTTGAAGGCGTCAAGCTGATGCTGTGTGCCCGTGTTTGTCCACAGATTGCTGAAGGCGTCGAGCTGATACTGTGTGCCCGTGTTTGTCCACAGATTGTTGAAGGCGTCGAGCTGATGCTGTGTGCCCGTGTTTGTCCACAGATTGCTGAAAGTGTCGAGCTGATACTGTGTGTCCGTGTTTGTCCACAGATTGCTGAAGGCGTCGAGCTGATGCTGTGTGCCCGTGTTTGTCCCCGGATTGCTGAAGGTGTCGGTAAAGGTTTGGTTTCGGTATATTTGATAAATATCCCTAAAATATTAATGGGCCTGATATCTCCATGTTGATACAGGTGAGCGTAATGTTAATTCCCTCGACTGTAATTAGGATTCTCTCATATTCCAGTCTGCTTTAGTGAATGAATGCATGACCAATTCGGCTTTTCAGGATTACAAACTGTCCAACACACAAATACCTTTTATCCTTAAGTGGTGAGTACCTTACCAGTAGATATTATTCATCGTAGAATGGATTCTGTGTTCGGTTGAGATTTGTTATGATTATGGAAACGTTTGTTGCTGGCTTTAGTTAACAATATATTATCAGTCCGATATCTCACCCGTAATTATCATAACATTCTAACTATCGATATGATGAATATCGTTGAAGTATTTACCAGGAACTTGATGTTTTTAACGTGCTGACTGTTTTACAAACTCACCAGTGAAATCAATGTTGTATTTAGAAGACGACATGGAACATAAACGTTGTAACATTTGGCAGTTGATTCAAGCAGTGGCTAAAGACAGCTGTAGGTGAATTCCAATTATACAAGAATATTACATATGTACATTCTGAAAACACCGAAGCCCTAGCTACTCTGAAATCACTCAACAGGAATGATTGTAAACTCTCCGTGACATAGCCTCTCTTGCTCTGGACGGCCAAAGGTCCTTTAAGTCGCTTTAGAAACAGTTACATTCTACGTCACAGTTATTATTCGTACATTGAAGCTTTATCGCGACCCAACACAACAACTGTCGTTGTATACAGCTTTATATAGCACCAACGGAACTACAAGTAGAACGCTCATTAACTTAACCAGGACTTTATCATGGCGGCTTTATCCCAGTCTCATACTATACATAAATTAATATTACACAGAGGAGTGTGTGGCAGTCACCTGACTAACAAATTTGTGTTTATCGACTCTAACGAGATAGTTGAGTTAGATCATGTTCTGTATCGAGAATAGCTTCGCATTGCGAAACAAGTGGAAGATTGAACGTTGTTTGTCGGTTTTAAAACAATTCTAGTATGCTGAAATCTCCACAATTGTACTTGTTGATGTAAACAGAATATTTTTGTAGGTATAATATCTGTTTTGTGTATCAATAGTGCATCTTGAGTGTCAATGGTGAGTGTATTGTATATGTATGGTGTGTGTGAATGGTGTGTGTATTGTATATGTATGGTGTATGTATTGTATATGTATGTGTGTGTATTGTATATGTATGGTGTGTGTATTGTATATGTACGCTGTGTGCATTGTATATGTATGGTGTGTGTATTGTATATGTATGGTGTGTGTATTATATATGTATGGTGTGTGTATTGTATATGTATGGTGTGTGTATTGTATATGTATGGTGTGTGTATATTTGTATATGTATGGTGTATGTATTTTGAGTATATTGTATATGTATGTTGTGTGTATTGTATATGTATGGTGTGTGTATTGTATGTGTATGGTGTGTGTATTGTATATGTATATGTATGTATGTATTATTTACATATGTATGGTGTGTGTATTGTATATGTATGGTATTGTTGTATGTATGGTGTGTGTATTGTATATGTATGGTGTGTGTATTGTGTGTGTATTGTGTATGTGTATGGTGTGTGTATTGTATATATGGTGTGTGTATTGTATATGTATGTGTGTGTGTATTGTTATGTATGTATGTATGTGTATTATGTATATGTATGGTGTGTGTATTGTATATGTATGGTTATGTGTATTGTATATGTATGGTGTGTGTATATGTATATGTGTATGGTGTATGTTGTATGTATTGTGTGTGTGTGTATATGTATGGTGTGTGTTGTATTGTATATATGTATGGTGTGTATTGTATTGTATATGTATTATTGTATGTGTATGTTGTATTATTGTGCATTGTTGTGTATTGTTGTGTATGTATGGTGTATGTATTGTATGTATTATTGTATGTATGTGTATGGTGTTATTATATTGATTGTGTATGTGTTGTATTGTATATGTATGGTGTGTATTATTGTATATAATGTGTTGATGATTGTATGTTATTATTATGTGGTATGGTAATGTGTATTGTATATGTATGATTGTATATTAATTGTATATGTATGGTGTGTGTATTGTATGTTATTGTGGTATTGTATTGTATATGTATGGTGTATTATTGTGTATGTATGGTTGTGTGTGTTATTAATGTATGGTGTGTTATTGTGTATGTATATGTATGTGTATTGTGTATAATGTATGGTGTGGATTATTGTATATGTTATTGTGTGTGTATGTGTAATATTGTGTGTGTATTGTATATTATTAATTATGTGTTGTTATGTTATGTATGTATTATTGTATGTTGTGTATTATTGTGTTGTTATGTTATTATATTGTGTTAATGTATGTATTGTATTATTTATATGTATTATATGTATTATTATGTATTATTATTATTTTTATTATGTTATGGTGGTGTGATTGTTATTGTGTATTATGTTATGGATGGTATGTTGTTATTATGTATGGATTATGTATGTGTATGTTATTATTGTAAATGTATGGTGTGTTATTATGTATTGAATATGTGATTGTATGTTATTATTATTAATGTATGTATATGGTATAATATGTATGTTATTGTATTATTATGTAATAATGTGTTATGTATATTATGGTTATATGTGTGTTATTATGTTATGTGTATATTGTGTTTATTATGTTGTGTTATTATGTATGTGTTATTATTATTATGTGTATGTATGTATGTGTTGTATGTATTATGGATGTGTATTAATGTGTATGGTGTATGTTGTATGTATGGTTATTGTTTATTATTGTATATGTATGGTGTTGGTATTATTGTGTGTATGGTATGTATTGTATGTGTATATTATTATGTATATTATATGTATGTATGTGTATTATTGTTATGTATGTGTTATGTATGTGTGTATTGTTATTATATGTATGGATTATGTGTGTATAATGTATGTGTGTATGTATTGTATGTATTATTGTGTGTATTGTATGTTATTGTATGTATGTGTTGTATGTGTGTGTATTGTGTTATTATTGTGTATATGTATATATGGTTATTGTATTAATATATGTATGGTTATTATGTATTGTTATGTATGTGTATGGTGTTGTGTATTGTTGTATATGTATGGTGTGGTTATTATTATTGTGTGTATGTATGTATATATATGTGTTATTGTATATGTATGGTGTGTGTGTTTGTATATGTATGTTGTGTGTATTGTGTATGTATGGTGTGTGTATTATTATATATGTATGGTTATTGTGTATTGTATATGTATGGTGTATATTGTATATGTATGGTATGTATTGTGTGTATTGTATATTGTATATGTGTGTGTATTGTTATGTGTGTGTGTATTGTATATGTATGTTGTTATTATGTGTATGGTGTGTGTGTGTATTGTGTATTGTATGGTGTGTATATGTGTATGTATGTGTATGTATGTATGTGTATTGTATATGTATGGTGTGTGTATTGTATATGTGTGTATGTATTGTTTGTCTTGTATATGTACGGTGTGTGTATTGTATATGTATGTTGTGTGTATTGTATATGTATGTTGTGTGTATTGTATATGTATGGTGTGTGTATTGTATATGTATGGTGTGTGTATTGTATATGTATGTTGTGTGTATTGTATATGTATGGTGTGTGTATTGTATATGTATGGTGTGTGTATTGTATATGTATGGTGTGTATTGTGTATGTATGGTGTATGTATGTATGTGTGTGTGTATTGTATATGCATGGTGTGTAATCACCAGCATGTGGAAGTCGCAGTGGCTGAGCTAGTTTGGCGGCTGACTTTGTGTTCTGGCGATTAGGTGCCTGACTTTGAGGGTTTCCTCCACTATGACAGCTTTCTAAATGACACTGTGTATTCATAGATATCCTACATGCTCCAAAACACCACAGATCACCGAAGATCTTCCAACTCCCCTTTTATAACAATGTTTTGGTTTATTCTTTAACAATGACGTAGAGTGTTTAAAAAAGGAAAGTGAATAGTGTCGGTGATGCAAAGTTTTTCAAACACATGTATTTCGCTACTGAAAAGATCTTGAAACAGTCTCTGTAATCCTGTTTGTATCCACAACAGATAATTACATTAGTCCTAAATTTGACTAGTTTGAATTATTTATTATTAATCCTCCAGGTTTTACAGCATCTGTAGAACAATTACTTAGGTTGTTTGTAAATGTTTCGCATTCGAGGAGGCAAACACTACTGCATCATCAACATTCACTAATATACCCCCAGCAATACTTTCATGGTGCACTGAGTACATCCGTGTCGTATCGTGACTCACTCAAGCTGACATGAAAACGTAACATTATGCAAGACATATTTGACGCTATTTTCTGTACTGTTTGCAAGTGATTGCTCATAAGAAACAAACGAAAGGGATTAAGTAATGTCATCTCTGGCGTGTCTCCATGCTGCAGGGTTCATGTCTTGTGGGCTGCTAGATGTTTCCAGATCTTTAATAGAATATATCGACATGGATTACTCCGTGTAGTCTTCTTCCTGTCTCTTTAATAGTAAACGTTTACTTCAAAACTTTTGTCAACAAGGACATTACACAAGCTGCCACTGGTATGAGGACCAGCGTTAAAGCGGGGCGGACCATATCGCCTGTAGCACAGCCAGAAGGACTTTGCAACTTGACGGCGAGCGACAAGATTCCCGCCGTGTTCCCGGGACATGTGGCATAGGCAGTTGCGGTACAGGTCACAGACAAGTCCGTTTGGCTGGAATACATGGAACACGGAAAATCAACAATCAGTTCGTTGGAAGGTATGCTTCCCACTTATAGGATTTCAACATATATACATATATGTAACGAATTAGAAGAAGAAATATAACAATCAAATCTATTTACAAAATCGAGCACATGTAAAATCAAAATCCCGGAAGCGTCCGTAAAATCGGCAGTTGTTCAAGGAACAACACAAACACAAACTTGAAAAGGAAAAGAATACCATTAATAAGTCCAGTTCCCTCACTCTTGTCGCATTTTGACGGAATATAAGAGCATCGTTATTTCAAATTCAATGTTATAACTACTGAATAAATACATACATGTACATGTGTGTATGTTCGTTAGACGACTATCAATATGCGAAGCAGATAACGGGAGACGTTTTTGTACACAGCCTTACCTGCACTGGAAGGCAACTGTCGCTACAGGGTCTGCGGGGCTAGGTGTGGTAGGCGGAGTACCCTGCATCACACAGGCACCAACTGCCGCCGATCGAGATGGTTCCTCCACACACGTCAAGTTTATGTCTGAAATGTTCAATAACATTACATGATAAAGTCAAGGCCGTGTAACATAACATGCTGTGCCCTAATGATAACTAGAGTTACTATACTTGTTGTACAACAGATATACATGACACTCTGTATCGTGGAATATAAACAGAACCCCGCAGATCTCTGCTTGTTGTATGATAGGCAAACATTACATCCTGTGTCTTTAATAGTAACTGGGGTCACTCTACCTGTTCTACGACAGTTACAAACAACGAATAGCGAATGCCGTCCAGCATGGTGAATGTCATCTAGCATGGTGAATGCCATCTGGCATGGCGAATGCCATCTAGCATGGTGAATGTCATCTAGCATGGTGAATGTCATCCAAAATGGTGAATGTCATCTAACATGGTGAATGTCATCTGGCATGGTGAATGTCATCTAGCATGGTGAATGCCATCCAGCATGGTGATTACCATCCAGCATGGTGAATGTCATCCAACATGGTGAATGCCATCCAGCATGGTGAATGCCATCTAGCATGGTGAATGTCATCCAGCATGGTGAATGCCATCTAGCATGGTGAATGCCATCCAGTATGGTGATACAGTGACACGGCTACTTACTCTGTACATTTTGACAGATGGAGTCTATAGTTTGCTGGACTTGTGGTAGACTTGGATAGAGGAGCTGCCACGCGGCGGGGAGACAGAGGATCAGCTTTGCAAAGACACAGTCATACAACGCCTTAAGTTGGGGCGTGTTTCTGCAACAATATAACAGGTATTTGAAAATATATGTCAAACGCCTTTTGTTGTCACATTTTATGATGTCTAAAACACTTACAAATCTAGCTGGAGACATAAATACGTCTATGATAAGACATAAATCTTTTAAAGCAGCTTGTTTCACAATGTTCATCCCCTTTTTCCAAGGACAGTTATTCATTCTCCGAAATAACATAACACGTTGTAAACAAATGTATTCATTTTATTTGACGTAATAACCTGTCTCCTAGAATTGTTTTGCATGGCAGTATATTTCAGACAATGTTATAACAGTATTACACTGTTTCGGTATAGATTCATTAGAAATTGATAGCACTGTGTTTTACAATAGCCAGGTGATGGGAATATACTGGTATGCAATGGAAGCAGTGGTATAGAAGTTACTATATATATTATGATGCTTATAGAGTGAAGAGTTGTCTGAAAAGTAGAGGCTTCAAATACAAGCTGCAAATGCTAACAGAGATCAGATACAGAAAGGTTACTATATTAAGAACTGCACTTAAAAGAAACATCCGAAAGTACATGACTACAGAAAGTCCTCAGGTCATTGCCAGGTGCCTTGTCTCATCTCGACTAGATTCCTCTAATGGACTGTTGAAAACAGAATACAGCTGCTCGCAGTGTTTATTCAAACTCCAAGTCAGATCACATAACGCCTATTCTGAAATCCCTACTTTGGCTTCCTATCGCATCGTAAGCTCCCAGTTAGATTTGATCTTCAGTAACCTTTGCTTGTCGTAAGAGGCGACTAACGGGGATCGGATGGTCACGCTCGCTGACTTGGTTGACACATGCCATCGGTTCCCAATTGCCCAGATCGATGCTCATGCGGTGTACAACTAAACTCACTCACTCACTCAAAGTTATCTCCCTGATCTCATCACAAAATACAAACGTAAATTGTAATACTTGCAGCAAATTGTAATAACCCTTGACGTAAATTGTAATACTTGCAGCAAATTGTAATAACCCTGACGTAAATTGTAATACTTGCAGCAAATTGTAATAACCCTTGACGTAAATTGTAATACTTGCAGCAAATTGTAATAACCCCTGACGTAAATTGTAATACTTGCAGCAAATTGTAATAACCCCTGACGTAAATTGTAATACTTACAGCAAATTGTAATAAACCTTGACGTAAATTGTAATACTTACAGCAAATTGTAATAACCCTTGACGTAAATTGTAATACTTACAGCAAATTGTACTAACCCTTGACGTAAATTGTAATACTTGCAGCAAATTGTAATAACCCTTGACGTAAATTGTAATACTTGCAGCAAATTGTAATAACCCTTGACGTAAATTGTAATACTTACAGCAAATTGTAATAACCCTTGACGTAAATTGTAATACTTACAGCAAATTGTAATAACCCTTGACGTAAATTGTAATACTTGCAGCAAATTGTAATAACCCCTGACGTAAATTGTAATACTTGCAGCAAATTGTAATAACCCCTGACGTAAATTGTAATACTTGCAGCAAATTGTAATAACCCTTGACGTAAATTGTAATACTTACAGCAAATTGTAATAACCCTTGACGTAAATTGTAATACTTACAGCAAATTGTAATAACCCTTGACGTAAATTGTAATACTTACAGCAAATTGTAATAACCCTTGACGTAAATTGTAATACTTGCAGCAAATTGTAATAACCCTTGACGTAAATTGTAATACTTGCAGCAAATTGTAATAACCCCTGACGTAAATTGTAATACTTGCAGCAAATTGTAATAACCCTTGACGTAAATTGTAATACTTGCAGCAAATTGTAATAACCCTTGACGTAAATTGTAATAAAAATCACGTAAATTGTAATACGCAAATTGTAATAAAAATTGACGTAAATTGTAATTATTTTAGTTGCGGTAAAATGTAATAAATATTTACATAAATTGTAATAACTGTTTTAATCAGCCGTAAATACGCGTGTGTTTGTTTTTCGTTGCATTTCATGCATCATATAAGCTTATTAGCGCGATAACTCAAGAAAGAAATGATTGATTTTGTTCAGATTTGGTAGCAAAGTTTAGTGGCGAGATTCACCGACATCCAATTGAATTTAGTGACCTTGAGATAACTTGCAAGGTCACAGCGAGTATTATTTTCGCATTTGATATCAAGGCATCCGATGACAGTTTCGGTGACCTGTAGATAATTTTGAGGGTCACACGGTTAATTATATTCAGATATCGACATGTGACGGGGTAATAGCTATGTTTGTGACAAACACTTTTTATTACGGATTTTCAAAATTTTGTTCCAATATTTCTAGTTAATTCTACAAGCTGTGAAATATCTCGTGACACGTCTTAAAAACACCAGAGATTATTTGTGTATGTTTTGAATATTAAAGTTAATTGTTTTTCATTATGAAGATAATTTCAATGTTGACGCAAGGACATATTTTACGAGCAATAGATTTCAATAATTTAAGGTTAATTCTATTACATTTTGAATTCCATCATGGCATATCCAAAAATAACAGGATATTTTTTGTTTACGCTTTGAACGTTTTACGCTAAGTGTTCGTTATCAAAGTAAAGCCAAACTTTCTATAAGGCATAATATGTAGTATTATGGAAGCGTATTAGGGTCACATAGAAAAAATATTACCTCCTAATTAGAACTTAGTATCTCCTAATTAGGACTTAGTATCTCCTAATTAGGACTTACTACCTTCTAATTAGGACTTAGTATCTCCTAATTAAGAGTTAATATCTCCTAATTAGGACTTAGTATCTCCTAATTAGGGCTTCGATATGTACACATAAATATGGGGATGGGGGTGGTTCTAACGGGTATATCTAACATACTGAAAAACATTGGGTGGGGGGGAGGGTCTAACGGGTATATCTAACACTAAATTCAACTGATGTCGGTGAATCTGGCCACACCACTGCAGTCTCGAAGTTCTGAAGTTCTACTGCAACTGATAAGTATAGAACACTCTAGAAGATCAGTGGTACCTGTTTCTCACTACATACGACTGTTACATGTCTGTATGGATGGCATTGTATACTCCACTCTCAGAGTCATGCGCTCCTAAACCTGGCTGGACTATTTTACCCTAGAAATAAAGCTCCACCATGCATATTGTCAACCAATAGGTCCTAAAAACATATCCAAGCTTCACGAATCCACGAAAATCAAAGATAAAACATTAAGGAAAGTGTTTGAATATACAAAGCTTTTTAGAAAGTGGTCAAATGTAAAATATTTGATATTTGGGATTACATTTTCCTAGTAAAGTACAGATTCTAGTATTTTGAAAAGAATCTGTACTTTACTGAAAGTGTAATCCCAAATATAACACATGTTACATGATATTTTCTATTGCCAGAAAATTACGCAATCTGGTGGTTCTTGCTGTATCGTGTACCGAGTGGACAGACGGTTGCAGAAATGGCGCCGACTGTTGGGCAAATGCAGGGATTAAAGTCCAATATAACACCTCGTGGTCAGGTTCTACCGTCATATTCCGATTTTGACATGAAAAATATCTTTATTTTTTTAAGAGATGTCTCCTCCCTCCTACTCCTAACAACACTAACGACTGCTTCTACAACTACTACTAATGATACCAATACTACTACTACTTCAACAACTACTACGACTACACAGCTGTGACGAAGAGTGTGTAACACCTACGCTGCCTGGCAGATGAGCGCAGCGTTGTTTATCACAAGACCGTCAACATCTAGAAGCACCTGCGGATCCGTCACAAGGCTGGAGATGGCTGTTTCCGTGATGCTGGCCTGCACACACGTGATGGCATCTGTCACCAGGTTGGGGCAAAACGACGTCAAATCCACCTGGCCGTTTGTAGTAGCCGGTAGTGCTGCAATGTAGGGAAACATCTGTAACACTATTTGCCGGGTGTACTGGTCAGAGATATGTCAAACTATGATTACACAATGCCATTTAGAAAGTGGTCAAATGCAACATATGTTATATTTGGGATTACACTTTTCTTAGTAAAGTACAAATTGTAGTACTTTTGGAGTTGAGCGGTGGCTGAGAGGGTTAGGCGGCTGACTTTCTGTGCTGGCGATTAGATGCCTGACTCTGAGGGTGTGGGTTCGAGTCCCAAATGGGGTTCAGCTAAAAAAGTACTAGAAATTGTACTTTACTAAGAAAGTGTAATCCCAAGTATAACATATGTTACATATGTCAAGCTCGTCAAAACATGGCCAGCTAAGCAGATTTTGTCCACGACAACTGCCAACCTCAGCAGACTGTTAGTCGCTCATCTGCTCTGTGGTTAGAGTGTCTGACGTGTTAGACAATGTAAAACAGAACATTGGTACATGGAGCAATAGTTGTGTTTCCAGGGCAACACATTTCCCAATATGACGTACTGTGCCTGCTATAAGCGCCTGTAGTCACGTGATCACATTATCCCAAGCAATATTCCACAGCTTTATTGTGTCCACAGACAGGGCGTCAATGTCATCTAGTTTCACATTATTACCCATTCAACAATTTTGCATGCATACATTTATCTAATTTATTAATCATTAATTATTCCCATTTGCAAAATGACCCAGAGACACGAATGCTTGCTTTGCTTGTTGTCCATCACTATTCCAGGACTGTCAATAATCGTGTCTGGACCAGACAATCCAGTGATTAACAGACAGCAGTATCAGTTTACGCAGCAGGGATACGATGACATGTGTCATCCAAGTTATCCGAAAACCCGATCCCATTATAGTTACTCTTTTACCACAGGGGGTAAGCCCTGTCCATGCTCAACCGGAAGTTGGTCGTCATCCACTATCATTTCCCTGGTAGAGAGTGAGTCCCAAACTTCGTAAGATTTTGATATTTCCATATTGGTAGAACAGCCAGGTAATCAACAAGCGCATGCAGTGAAATTTCAATTTCACACGTATAAGTCGCACACCTGGCTGTTCTACCAGCAAGTGGTCCTCCCTCGTAAGAAATAGCGAAAAGTGACAACAAAATAATGATCGTTTGTTAAACAACTTTTTTATTCGGGTGTCCAAAATTATTAGACAAATCATCAAAGCTGGTCTGTCGATTTCATGTGACTGTGCAATATCTGGTTTTGTTGCAATTATTAGATTTTGTGTTAGTGAGCAATTCATCAGTCTGAAATGAAGTCGAACGGACTTTAACCGACATCACGTTGGATGTCTACCTCGTTATTGTACAAATTTATCATTGTCTTATCTTTAAAACCATCGTATGAGCTGCAAGCAAATCGAGAAAGTGTTACTCTTACTTTGTAAAAGATAAGTTCTACTTTTTTAAAATAAAGTGTACTATTCAGTATTTTCTAGAATTGGGTAAACTGCCATGCCGTTTTTAGCTGTACATGCCTTTTAAGGCCCATGTTAAACGCCTTATTAATAGTGGGGCGGTTATGGCAAAAAATGTGCACTTTGGGTTAAAAGCTCCAAACTTGGCACACTTATATATTGAACCATTCCGAACATTTCTGGATATGGATCCACCTCAGCAGTGCCCCCTGGTGGCAGAAAATCCAAGATGGCCGCCAATTTGACTGAAATCTCTAATGATGTCAGTCTGTGCTCAACATATCATAATTATCTTATCATATTCAGTATTTTCTTTCAGGATTATTCTTAACATTACTCTATATATTCCTAATTTAATACGCAGCACCACCTGGTGGTGATAAAAATCCAAGATGGCCACCAAATTAACCTAATTTTCAAAAAAGCCTTGTTGTACTGTATATATTGATATCAACTTGTAAGTTATTAATTTTTGGCTTTATATAAGTTGATTTATATAAATCTAATATTGCTGAGGAGACATTTTAAATAGCAATACATGAATGTATATGTTTGTGCACTCTTATGTATGATCTGTTGGTATTTTGGCTAGTATTTTACAAATGCAAAGTTTCTGAGAACAATTTAATGCGCACACCTTTCAGTACTTACTTGCAAGTAAACGATTCTGTTATATTATTAACACAGGATACACATGATTAGAGAAATTGGCATGTATATATAATCTTCAGGTGAAATTTCCGTAATGTTTTCTTACAATCTGGAATGTATGTTTAAATAATGTTAACATTATGTACATGCAGATGAACCTATGAAACCAACTTACATTCCTTGAGATCAGTTCACACAATCTTTCTACAGTTCCATTATTCATGATCAGTCACTGGAAACACTTTCCTTCACAGTGGCACAAAGCAGTGCACTTCAGACTGGCTTTGTAACATTTACAAAGGCCTGTGCAAGACTTCTTGCAGGTGCAGTGTATTAGTTCATAACACTGTTCTTGTGCCTGACCAAGTGTTGTCCACTTAGGTATCCATGTGTTATCACATGCCTTCTTCCAACCCCAGTCTGAGGGACTCGGCAGGGCTGGACGCTTGTCAAGTACCTGACCCCATACATGTCCTCTCTGAAAGGTTGCGCGCATTGCATGCTGTTTTAGGGCTGCCTGTGTAGGTGGAATGTTTTCAATGGGCCTAGACCGTCTTGAAAAGAGATGCTGTCTGGCTTTATTGATGTTCCATGCCACACTAGTTCTGTCATACATAAGAATGACAAACCGCTCAAGGAGCCGCATTGTGTTGTCAGAAATATCTGCTGGGGCATCTGCAAGTGACAGGAATGCAGCCGTGACTTCAGGATATACATTCCAAGTATCCCAAGCAGTTTTCTTCCCTATCCCGGCAAAAAAATGAAGTGAAATCACAACCAGTGAAGGCATGAAATACTGATAATGCCTTTGATTTCAATGGACCAAGGGTAGTTCCAATTTCATGTGCAGCTATATATCTGTTGTGCTTGCCTACGCCAAATGATATCCATACTTCATCAATTGGTATCTTCTGGATGTTTGTTACCGTTATAACAACAACATCTGTGTCGGCAGTCCTAATCATCACCTTCTTGTGACCACTATGTGAAGCAGCAGATAGGTGCAATACAAGACGGGTGTCGGCTTCTTCATGTGAGCAATCCTCCAGAAGTCTTCTGTCAGCTGTTTCAGGAGACGTTACAGCTTTTGTCTCAAGGGTGCTGTAAATCTGTTTCCCTTCTAATTCTGTTGCAGCAACCTGTTCAGCTAGCAATGCAAAAAAGCTCAGTTTTGTTCTCATCAACTCGCAGGAAGCTTTGCCAGTTACTTGGCACAAGTGATGATGGTTTGACTCTTCTTCTTAGACCCTTGCCACGTTTTTCTCTGGTGAATGCTTTAAGGCTGTCTGTTTTGTAGGTGTCCCAAACAATGTCAAGTCTGTCCACATGTTCAAGATACTGGAAAATGTATAGTAGAAATACATTCTGGATATAGTCTTGAAATGTTATAGATGTTCTTGGATGAAGCATCTGCACAATCATGGGACCATCAAGTATCGCTGCAGAAACTTTTGGAGTAGCATTTGGTGTCTCCGCTTGTAAATGCTCAAGTTGTACAAGAAGGTCTGCTTTGTTGCCAGATCTAATTTCTCCAATCTTGGACAATGATGGAGGCCATGGCTGATTTTCATGCTTGAAGAAATCTTCAAGGTTTCCTTCTCTTGATTGACATGCAATGTACAACCTGGAAAACAGAGCACAGTCGCCCTTGAGTGCTGCAACATGAGTCTTCTTTGGAGGAGGAGTCTTCCGTCTTGAAAACAGTGGCAGCTTGTTCTTCTTTATTGGTTCCTGTATTAGTTTTGATCTGTCAGCAAACCTTTCTTTTACAAAATGGTCGTATTGCTCCCTGCCTGCTTTGCATCCATTTCTGATCGTCTCCACTACATCAGAGTCCATAATGTCCCTGGTATCTAGTGTCAAGAGATCACCACTGTCCTCACTGAAAGGATTCCCCATGTCGTTCATTATAGTTACAAGCGATGAAACCTCCTTTGCAAATGTCATCTGTACAGCTACTGCTTGTTCATGATGTTTGTCACTTTCTTGATTCCTTCTGATATGTTCAAATTCTTGAATCATTCTTGACACCTCCGGTCCTGCAACCATCCATCGCCTGAGTGCTGATGGGTTTTCTGTCAGTCCAACAGCACCTCCATCTCCTTTCACGAGAGCATTAACTTGTTCATGAGCCTGATCTAGTGCCATAGCAGAGAATGGTCGTTTAGTTTTACGAGCTACAAATCCACAGGAACAAAATTTGTGGTAAAGTGCTGGGTGTTCGACTGACAAAGAAGACATGTCTCTGATATGAACTGAAAGCCATCGTGCATAGTTCACATGGTCTAACATAAAGACCCAGGGTATTAATCTCACAAGTGATGATACATACTTTGGGAAATCTGCTGTTCGAATTGCACCCACCAGGCACAGTATGCAAAGTTCAAGTTCAAGAACAAGGGACCAGTACTGAAACTATGGTTGGGAAGCTGACTTTGCATCACACCAGGTACTGAAAGTCAAAAGGTCTTCTTTGTTTGCTTCTGCGTCCTTATAGTGAGCATATGCCTGGTGTTGTAGTAGGAATAGTGCAGCTGCCGTGATCTGATGGGCATGTCTTGTTCTAGCGAGGTGGGTACATTTGATGAAGGAATCAGAAACGCCGCTTGAGGCAATACCAGCAACACAGATTGCAGTTGTCCATCCACGTCCTTCAAGCCAGTCTCCGAGGATCCTGAATGCAGCTATTTCAATATGCAATCCACCAAACATAATAAGGAAACTGGATTCACCATATGATTCTGGAAAGTTCCACTGGATTTTTTTAGCAATTGCATACAATGATTGATCCATGGTAAGTACAGGTATCTGACCTGGATTTAAGTGCTCAACGGCCTTCTTTACCACATTCATTGAATGCTGTATCATAGCAATGGAGTGTGCACATTCTAGCAACAGTGGCATAAGTGCAGTTGTGGTTC